GAAGATCTTATCAACTCACCAGGAAAGATTAAAAGTGACTGTAAATCCCTAAATCCTCGCCCCAAAACGCAGCTCAAACGTCACTGCTTCATTTTTCTGGATTCCTTGGCACTTTGTACAAATCTCCAGCGTCCACATCTGACCCTGCGCCCCAAGAGGCTGGGCTCTCTCTGAGGTTGTGCCTGCAGTCCCCTTACAGGGCTGCAGCAGGGACGACTGAAATCACGCACCCAAGGTGCTTAACACAGCGCCTGGCCCAAGGTAAGCGCTCGAGATTACTGTACTTGGTCAGTATCAGTATTCAACGGATCCCAGCCCTCCCTGAACCTCGGTTTCCTCAAGCGTAAAAGGAGGCTGTACAGACCCTGCCCAAAGCCCCCAGGTGCGGGGCTGGGCGGCCTCAGGGCCAGAGGGGTCCCGGGGAGGGCCTGAGGGGCGCAAGCCGCGGGAAGAAGAGCAGCCCTGGAAGACCGCTGGCCCTGAGAGTCTCGGGTGCAGCCAGGCGCCGAGATCCGTCCTCTCACCTCCCGGGCTCAGCAGCAGCTTCAACGCCTCCAAAATCCGCTCCAGACCACACGTTTCCAGAACCCCGCTGCCCGCTGTCTGCCGGAGGGCCGCCATGACTGGAGTGGGACGCGCCACATGCGACTTGCGCAGGCGCCTCGGCGGACCGGCGTCGCCGCCACGTTGAGCGTGGCCGAAGCCCTAGGGGCGGGGCCCGCGGCGTGGGGCGGGGTCGACTTGGTTGGGACTGCGACCTTCACGAAGAAATCTTTTTTCAGGCCACCTGTACTCGCAGGGGGCGGGGGAAGCAAACATAGCTAACACAACTTACCTACATGCACGATTTCAGACACTCAACATGTTTAACCTCTATATAAAGAAAAAGGATGAGAGAAGTAGTTTAATTATGACATAATAGGAATTTCAGTATGAAAATATTTGAGTACCGGAACACTGAAGGTCATAGTGAAGCAATCAGTTGCTGCACCTTCTTATAATGAAGTTTGGGCATGTAAAACAATATTCAACCGTTGAATTTCTTCATTAGTGACATTTTAAAATAAGTACTAAACACATCCATTGTGAATAATAACAAATAACAAACATTGTTATTGATATGATTTCTTAAATGGACTCAGTTCCCAATAAAAGCTCAATCTTTGCCCTATTTACAGGCATTCCTGGAAAATTCAATGTCTATTAAAATCGTGCCCCATCAAAATTGAGTTAATATGTAAAACAGAATGCGTTGGAGATTTATATCATCGAAACAGGTTTTCACCTACATGAATCCTGGTGGGACATTCAAAAGTCATGTTGTCTGAAAGGCATGCTGCAAATCCAGGACAATGCTTCTGAGAGCAAGACTTTAGCACTCCTACCTTTCCCTTCACTCAGTCAATAATTTCTCCTATCATTGTCACAAACAGCTCCAATACCCACTTCGTGAAACTGCTCCCAAGAGGCTGTCCTGCATTTCCTTGAGATCCCCTGAGCTAACCTGAGTTCATGACTGATGACTGCTCTTCAGCAGTTAGCTGCTAGAAGTCTTGGGAAATGGGCTGCGCTCCATATGCAAGACGATGCCACTGGGGGAGGAAATTGTTCATTTAACTCTTCTCAGTGAGTCAGGCCCCCTCCGGGTCACTCCCATTTCTCTGGGCTCCAGCCCTAGTCCTTCAGCCATTTCCTACTCTCTAGAATGAGAAGATAACAGAACCATTTTCACTAGGCTATCTTAGGGAGTTAAAGTGATACTGCTCTCAAGTATTTAGCAATGTCTGCAAAAGAGGAGATACTTAATAAATTTACCTGGATCTTCCTCCCCATCTCTTCCTCAAACAAAACCTGCCAAAATATCTATAAATTGGAGGAACATTTTTGAAGGGGAAATAAATGACCTACAAAATTTCCTAGGATTCTTTTCATTATATCCCACCCTAGGTTTTGTCAATAGACAGTTTTTCTTCAATAATGTGTGGACACAAGTTCATTTTGGGGAAAAAAAATTTTGAGGTCATTTCAAGGTGTTAAACATTTAGCAAAATGGGTATAGGGCATCGTGTGGGGAAGGCCCACCCCTAATATTTGTGGGGATTAGTGAAAAATACAAATGGAGGCCCTCATACCATGTCTAAATATTTCAAAGTATAAATCAAACCAGTAGACAATATTTTATTAAGATCTTTTCTATCCTCCTACCTTGAAAAATACACCAGGTTTGAACTGAGAATTCTCAGACTTCACCTCAGAGCTCCATACTGGACAAGGCTATATGGGAAGAGCCAGCCGCCCACCTCTGGCCTGACCCCTTTTTATTCTCACTAGCGTCTCCATCCTCACAGAATTTTAGTTTGTAGGAATTGAATGCTGGTAGCCCCTTCCTCAGTTTGCTCTGGGCAGCTTCGTTAAAACACAGAAGTACAGCTGGGAGACGCCCTGGTAATATGCTATTAAACATCCATCACAGCCAATACCCTCAAGAGCTACAGGGAGAGGGCGCTGCTTCTCTGCAATGAACCATATGGGGTTGTTCAAGATGCACAAAGAAGTCTGTATTGGTGTAAAACATGTTTGGTTGATTTGAAATTAGCCAAGGGACCCAACCTTGTCAGAAACTTTAGGGTCAGCAGCTGAACAAGCGATTTAAGCAGGCTGGGGGCTGTTTGCTTCAACCCAGACCTAACAAGCCTAACGCACCCAATAGTTATCAATGGCTGTTTTTATAGAAACAGAATTCCCATCAAAGACTGCAGCAATTGAAGGTTCTTATCTTCTAAAGTCACATGTGATTACTGGAGTGGTTGCATTCCATTTTCCATAATTGACCCCCACGTTCTTTATGATATTGCATATACACATAATGGAATATTATTCAGCCATTTAAAAAATGAAGTTCTGGGCTTCCCTGGTGGTGCAGTGGTTGGGAATCCGCCTGCCAATGAAGGGGACACAGGTTCGAGCCCTAGTCTGGGAGGATCCCACATGCCACGGAGCAACTAAGCCCAGGCGCCACAGCTGCTGAGTCTGCGCTCTGGAGAGAAACCACCACAATGAGAAGCCTGCGCACTGCAACGAGGAGTAGCCCCCGCTCTCTGCAACTAGAGAAAGCACGCGCACAACAGCGGAGACCCAACACATCCAAAAATTAACTAATTAAAAAAAAAAATGAAGTTCTGATACATGCTGCAATATGGATGAACTTTGAAGACATTATGCTAGGTGAAATAAGCCAAATTTAAAAGGACAAATATTAAATGATTCCACTTACTTGTTTGGGATGATGAAAAAGTTCTGAAAATAGAGGTGATGGTTATACAACATTTTGAAGGTACTTAATACCATTGAATCATACACTTAAAAGTGTTTCAAATGGTAAAATGTTATATTTTACTACAATTTTTTTTTTTTTTTTTTTTGCGGTACGCGGGCCTCTCACTGTTGTGGCCTCTCCCGTTGTGGAGCACAGGCTCCGGACGCGCAGGTTCAGCGGCCACGGCTCACGGGCCCAGCCGCTGCGCGGCATGTGGGATCCTCCCGGACCGGGGCACGAACCCACGTCCCCTGCATCGGCAGGCGGACTCTCAACCACTGCGCCACCAGGGAAGCCCGCACTGTTGATATTTTGCACCTGATAATTCTTTGTGGAGGGAGGCTGTCCTGTGTATTGCAGGATGTTTAGCAGCGTCCCTGACCTGGACTTGATGCTGCTAGCACCTCACCAGTCATGACAACCAAAAGTATCTCCAGAACTTGCCAGCGTCCCCTGGGGGAGGGGGCCACAATCTTCCCCAGTGGAGAACCACTGCCCTGTACTAACTTTGCTGACCTACAATGTTATTTGAAGCCCTGCTTCTTTCTATCCCTCGGCACAACCCACAGTAGCCTCCTGACAAGGAGATTTCATTGGTTTCACTACATGCCACATGGGTGGATATCCTTCAAATAAAGTGACCTTAGGTACGCAGTTTCCCCGCTATTCTGCCCCAACAGAATGACACAAAGTTCAGGGGAAGTCATTTTAATATGAAGCTTCTTTCTCCATGTTTTGAATAAGCTCACCTAACCATTTGTCTGTCTGGCCTGGAATTGTGTAATCAAATAAAACAAGTTTGACAATGGTGTAACAAAATTCTTTAATAAAATTTATAAAAATGAATATTTAAGAATAATTTTTTCCACCTTGTTTTCCTTTTCCCAAAGAAAATACAAAATTATCAGCACCCACACACATATACACTCAAAACTACAGTGACATTCTCTACACAGAACTACATTAGAGTTTAAATTGCTGAAAAATCAAGACAGTTCTAAGAAGTGGTTGCAGGGATGGGTTTTTCTTCCAAAAACAGCTGATATATAGGGAAGCAATTTAGATAAAGTTCTGGTCTATGGTTGTCAAAGGTTTCTTAAAGGTTGCGTTTCAACTAAAAACGGATCCAAATTAAGGTTCTCCCTACCCTCACCTCCCTTTGCTAACACCCTTTCAAGGAGTGTTTTCTTCCTGCTCCTAAGAAAAAAAAATTTTGGATTTTTAAAACATTCTGAAGTTTTCATGCACAGTTGGAATTTGGGCAAATGTGTCCAGACCAGCCAGCATTTTCTATAGATCAACAAAAGCAGGCACTGGGGATTCTGTGCTTTGGGTACAAACCACGGTACAAGGATCCTGGCAGGAAACGAGTGTTGAGATTCCTCTACTCTTTCAGAATTTTCAGGTCTGGAGGTAGAGCCACCGCAACAGTCTTCAGCCTCAGTTGGCTCAATTTCCAGGCTCAGTAATAATCTCCCCTGCCATCTCCATGGCCACGTTTCACATCTCCCCTCTGCTGTGATGAGCCAGCTTCTGTCTTTGGCTGCAGCACTTCAGGCACTATTCTGAGTCCCGGAATGTATCACACTTTTGTTTTAGGGATAAATGAACATTAAAAGTTCAGTGGCACCTGAAAACTCACCACCTTTTCTGGTCCAGGCTCCCTGTTTAGAACCAAAGCACCCCATAACGACATTCACATAACATTCTTACTCAGGACAAGTAAACTGGATAGATGCCCATTTCAAGTTATGTACTCAGGAGATGGAAAAGGAAAACCGTTAAAAGCTCTTAGGAGTACACAATACCCACTCAGCATATGGCCAGACTAAGACATAAGGCTCTTTCCCTAAAAGAGCCCAATAATTTCTGCATCAGAGAAATGTGATAGAATTCAGAGGCTGTAAGAATGGATATTAGAACATGGGACACCAGTGCAGTGACAGGAGGAATGAAAGCACACAAATTAATTTCTTTATATAAAATCTACAATAGGGAAATTGACCCCTCACCTTCCTTTGAAAAATGAGGCAAAGCCCTTACGGAAATCTGCCAGTTGCCAGCAGAACCTTCTGAGGCTGAAGCTACTCTTTTGAAATATTAAAATTTGGGGGTCTTTTGGACATCGTCATCATGTAAAGAGTGATGAAAGGGAAAAAAAAGATTCATGGAATGAGTCAAAATCGTTCTAACACACAGATTAGATCTATAAAGTGGAAATCATAACAGTCCTATCACTGACCACGGGTCTCTTCTCCAGAAACGCATCTCAAGTGAAGGAAGCTGGAAAACCATCAGGAATACTATTCCCCCATTTCCCATCACATGAGTGTAGGGACCCATCTGTCTCCCCATCGGTCTTGAGTCCCCTAGTCATCCTCGCCGCCTCCATACATGTCCGCCAGCTTCTTGAAGCGACTGCCCCACTCGTTCAGGTAGTCATAATCCTGGTCTTGGTCTGACTCCGAGGAATTCAGGGAGCTCAGACTAGCAGCTTCGGAGCCGCTTCCTTCATAATCAAACACCAGCAGAGAGTCATAGGGTGGGGCGGTGGGGTCACTATCAGCTGCCTTCAGGTTCTAAAGAAGGAAGACAATAGGATCTTTCATTGAGAGGAATCGCACACCTGTCACCTTAGGCAAGATGCCTTCTTTTGGTGCGTAAAGCCCAGTGTTAACGGCACAACAATGAGACCATCCTGCAGAACTCCAGGAGCACTGAACACCAACAAGGTAAATGTAATACAAACTGGAACAGAAGATGGACATGATATATTGTTAATGAAAAGATAAAGTATGCAGAATGTTTTCCCCCTAAACGAAACTGGTAAATTATATGTAGGCAGGAGAGATGAGCACCAACCAATCAGGATGGACAGAGACTAAAAACAATGAGGACAGTCATGCCAGGCTACACAGCCTGCATTTCAGCCCGAGAAGATCTGAAAGGATGAATGCCAAACTGCTAAATTAACTTTGGTGATTATGGTCAGGGGAACTGAGGGAGGACTTGCACATTTTTTCTTTATATACATTTTCATAATTTATATTTTTTAAATAGCAAACATTTTATTTTTGTAATTAAGAAATAGCTATAATCAGATATGATGATACACAAATGAATGTGAATGGAGGAAAATACCTGAATCGAGATGTATCTAAAAGGGATGGTTTAAAGTGGCCCTTCCTGTTCTCAGTTGTCTCTAAGATCCAGTGCCTAGAATGGATCTGGCTTGATCACTTCCAACACTGCCATGCTTTATATAGTCCTTGGTGACAACAACTCCTCAGGGAAGCTAAAGCAAAACCTGCCCTACACCGTGAAGACTTGCTGAAGGCCACTGGACCATCAGACAAGCCCTGAAAATCATTCCAGCAACTGAGCAAGTAATCAGGTAACATAGTTTAAGGAAGTAGATCCCACTGGACTATTATTATCTTACTTGGTTCTTTGCTTAACCCCACCAGTTCTTCCTCATCTTACCCTAAGCTAATTAACTTAATGCCTATTTCCCATCCTCCCTTGCATATAGGGACAATCCTGTGACAGTCCTGGCCAATAACATGTAGGATGAACTTCCTTCTTGCCTAACAGTTTGCTAGAAGAAAGTTTTTGCCCACTGCTCTGCCCTTCCTACTTCTTGACAGGAAAACAGGCTCAAGGCCTGGAAGTGTGGCAGCCATCCTGTGATCATAAAGCAGCAAGCATGAGAACAAGGATGTGCTGAGATCATGCAGCAGAAAGGTAGAAAAGGGTGATGCACCAGCCTAGACTGCTTACCCTAGTCTTCTATTTGCATGAGGTAACTCTACTCATATCTATTTAAGCTTCTGGTATTTATAGTTGAACGCATTTCTGATATATACAATATGGAAACTATTTTTCTGGCCCTCAGGTAGCCTTGTGATACACATTTAACATTACGTCCCAATGTAATGCAGGGAAAGAGAGACCCATTAGTGAAACAAAACTGAATCTACTTTGAATCTCTTTAGTTTCATTTCTTATTCTATTAAATCTTTTCAACCAAGTCTTGGTTTTGCTGTATGAACTTTGCAAATTCCCTAAGACTAATTCAAAGTGCTATTAGTTCTGAAATTTAGATGAGGCACAAATAAAAAAACAAATAGGGCTCAGGGAGGGCTTCCCTGGTGGCGCAGTCGTTGGGAGTCCGCCTGCCGATGCAGGGGACACGGGTTCGTGCCCCGGTCCGGGAAGATCCCACGTGCCGCGCAGCGGCTGGGCCCGTGAGCCATGGCCGCTGAGCCTGCGCGTCCGAAGCCTATGCTCCTCAACGGGAGAGGTCACAACAGTGAGAGGCCCGCGTACGGAAAAAAACAAAAACAAAAACAAAAACAAATAGGGCTCAGGGATGAAAACATGGTAAAGGAAAGACTCTAAAGAATTTTTCTCACTTTTGACACAACAGCTCCTTTCCAAGTTCAGAGATGAGTTTGTTGTGTCTTGGCTTTTGACTCTGCTTACTTACTTCATCAATAAAGTTTCCAATTTCATCAGGATTGGCAGGTCGGGGTCGATACTGGGGCACACTCAGGAGGGTTGGCGCCACATCATTGCGAGTCACTTCGGGCCGAGCATCCAGGCCCCTGTGTAGCTGGCTCAGGTCATACTCCTTTAGAGAAAAAGGTAAAAGCATAGCAAAGAGTAAAATAGAAACAGTCATAAACACAGGGTCATATTTGGTTTACAGATTATGGTACTGGCTAAGGCCTTAACAGTCAGCTGTATGATATCTACAAGCATGTGCCAATGTAACCTGAAATGGCAGTTGGTTTTTTTTTTTCTTTTCTGAAATGGTAGTTTTCAACCCAAGAGTCTCCAAATAGCACCGGAAGGAAATACAGTATAAAAGCCTTGTGAGGAACATTTGTGGGTATAGGTGTAGACTGTTTTACCTTATTAACTTTTCATAGGGTATGATTATTAGATTATTATTCAGAAAATATTCACTCCTTTCCCACCCTATCCTCTGTGAAAAGAATAGAAATCCATTAATGTAGGGCTATGCCATTTGACTTGCTTTGACCAATGGGACATCAATACATGTGACACAGGCAAAGGCCTTAACTCTACTTTAGTCTTACCTGCTGGGACAAAGAAGATAGGAATTATATGGAACATTCCTGGACACAACTCACAGCACACAGCCATCCAGCCAAGTGCAGCCTATATCAGCCTAGCCCCGACCAACCCACACATTCTTCTGAGCCTAGATGCCATAGACTGTTTGTGTGCCTCCTAAATTCACAAGTTGAAACAATGTGATGGTATTTGGAGGTAGGACGTTTGGCAGATGATTAGGTTGTGACAGTGTATGGAGCCCTCAGGAATGGGATTAGTGCCCTCATAAAAGACACCCAGAGCTCCCTTGCCCATTCCACCACATGAGGACACAGTGAGACAAGGGCCATCTATGAACCAGGAAGAGGGCCCTCACTAGGCACTGAATCTGCCAGCACCTTGACCTTGCATTTCCCAGCTTCCAGAACTGTGAGAAATAAATTTCTGTTGTTTATAAGCACCCAGTCTATGGTATTTTGTTACAGCAGCCCGAATAGAGTAAGACACTAGCTGAGACCAGCAACTGTCCCAGCTAACCCACAAACGCATGAGAAAAACATGCTTATTGACGTGTGCCACTGACATTCTGGGATTGCCTGTTATACAGCATTATTGTGGTAATACCTCAATAATACAGGGTAAGGCAAGTTAAGACCATCTCCAAAATCAAGAGAAATAAAGAAGGCCTGAAGAATTAACATCTACAAAAAGCAAAAAACCATTTGGCACAGCTACAAACTCAAAGGAAACAAAATATTAAAACAGATCAGTCCTTGTGTTCCTCAAGAGAAGCCACCACAATGAGAAGCCCGTGCACCGCAACGAAGAATAGACCCGGCTCGCCACAACTAGAGAAAGCCTGCACAAAAGCAACGAAGACCCAACGCAGCCAAAAATAAATAAATTTATAAAAACAACAACAAAAAACAGATGAGTTGCTCTATGTCAAAGATAATTTGAATAAAGTTCATGTCCTGGAAATAGCACTGAGGAGAGTAGGCTCTGGAGTCAGACCACCTGGTTTTACTGCTTCCTAGCTCTGTGACTTTGGGCAAATTGCTTAACTGCTCTGTGCCTCTGTTCATTCATCTGAACAATAAATAAATGTTAGCAATGCTGTATTGATGATGATGATGATGATGGTGATGATGGTTAATGACATCTATTTTCTTGTGTAGATGAAAGGTCTTTAAAAAAATAGGCAAAGTGACAGAGCTGTTTCAGATGTCTGTCTTCCCCTAATCATTGCTTCCTCCAAATAAAGAGATTGCCATTAAGCTTTCTCCCATGGTTTTAAACACCCACCTGGTCTTCTTCTCCACCTCCTTCTTCATCATAGTAATAAATGTTGTCCCGGGTGTCGTCTTCTGGGGGCAGTAAGGGCTCTTTGACTACCCTTCTCCTCCGAATAAGTAGCAGAAGCAGCAGAATCAGGACTGGAGTGGGGAAGAGAGAGAGAAGAGCCACAGGTCAAGAAAGCCGTAAGCAGCAGCTGGCACAGAGCACCACTGCCTTGCAGACCAGACAGATGGCTATAAGACAACTCACATGTCTTCATATCCCTGAGGTTAATATATGCAGCACTACACAGTGGACAATTACATGAGAACTCAATTGTGGTCTTTAACTGGACCTTAAACCAATCAGTCATTTCCCAAAATCTGGAGCAAAGTACTCCAGGCAGCAGAAATGGTCCAGGCAAAGACTCCAAGCAGACTGGTATGGTTAAGGAAAGACAGGGTCAGCGTGGCTGTAGCAGGATCATCAGGGGAGAAAGAAGGGGACAGGGGGTCAGAGGGGCAGCAAGGACATGCGGACCTCTGGAGGGACTTTGGCTTTGATTCAGAGTGGGTTGAAGCCATTGAAGGTTTGTGAGCAGGGCTGGGTCAGCCTAAATGTGACTAATACATGCATATTATTCTTATTCAGTTACAGGGGAGGGGAGTGGGGCACAGACTGTAAAGTCACCTGGTACACCATGAAAAAACACCAAAAAATTTTAAAATTAAAAATAAACAGCAAAAAAAAAAGCACTTGGTATATTCCTTATCTTCTCTTAGGATAAATCATGTAAGCGAGCTTTAAAATCTATTTTCAAGGTTTTCACCTGATCTTGGGGGCTATGTCTAGGCTATATACAATTAATATTTAATTTTTTAAAACATTAAATAATTTATTGTGAATGGGAAAAAAATATGATTCCGTGTGTTTTCTAACTTATAGGTCCTTATACCCAAGTACGTAGTGAAGCACCACTGCACTGAGACAGGAGGTGGCATACACTTGCAAGTACCCAACCTACCTGTTTCTGAAATCAGAAAGGTTCCAAGGTCTTATCCAGATAAACAATATAACCCCCTGGACCATGACTGAAGAACAGAAATACTGAGTGAGTTCTTGCTAGGTGGGCCAGGTCTGCCTTGGCCCTGAAGACACAGCACTGAAAACAATGGAAGCTGCAAACAGCCCCCATCCCTGTGGAGGCTAGAGCTGAAGAGCGAGAGAAGGGCTATCGTTTCCAAAAGGATGCTTCTTATCAGACATTACTTAAATGTTATGTAAGGGAAAGTAACCAAAACATGGCATACTGTTATCACTTCAGGAAGTACCACCCAACTTAGCTATCCTGAAATCCCCCAATCCCCGGTGTCAGAGACAAATGCTGCACAAAGTAAGTAACCAAATATTGGCTGACTACACAAAAACCTTCATATCCTCTTGTCTCTCTAGAATATTCTTTAGACGCTTAATTTCGATGTCTGCCCATAAGGAACAAGGCGTTGGAAATCTGCACACTGGCATTGCTTCTGCTGTAAATGTTGCACATTTGAACATTCCGAAATGTTGTTCTCGGCCCCTATCTCTAATGAAATACACCCATAGCAAAGTTAGATAAAGCTACTATAAAAAAAGTCAATATTTTAAGTATAACTGCATGGCGGCAATAAAGCCACGTGAATCCTGGAGGAAGAAAGGTCCGGAAAGTTCACTGAATTTTAAACAACTCTCTCCTTCCTTTTCAATTTTGAGAGGATGCAGCAGAGGGTAGGAGCTAAGGGGACACACTGCAAACATTTCCCGAAGGCCAACAGGTAATCCCTTCTTCAATCTGTCGAAGCTGCAGGATCAGTAACACTGCTGAATCTAAACTGAAAGCCCCCAGGTGGTCCCATTGCTCCCCTCTAAGGACTTTCTTCTACCCCAGCAAGGTCGGCCTCTCTGCCCTACACAGTCCGTCAAGCCTTCCTCTCTCTGTGTCTTTGCTAGTGTGGGAACCACCACAAATAGCCCTCTGTCTATGAGGATTCCCCCAGTCGCTGTGGCCCAACTATCCTGTCTTCCACCAAACCTTTCTCAAGACTCAATTAACAGCCTCCTCTTCTGACTGCAAGGACCTTCATGACCTGAACCACGTGTCATAGCTCCTAATGATAAAAAAAGCAACAACAACACTATCTTTGAGGTTTTCTGACTTGCCCGTCACTAGCTTTTAGAAACCATAACAGCACCTGTGTCAACCCTAGGGCTCAGTCTACAGGTAGGCTCAGGTAATGTAGGTTTTAAGGACTGTGTTAGAAACTGCCAAATTTTCCCCAGTAACCTTTTTTCCCTTCATCCTTTGAGTCACTGATACTCACCGTGCACCCCACACTCCACCCCTACTCTTGGCACCATCCTTTGAGTCACTGATACTCACCATGCACCCCACACTCCACCCCTACTCTTGGCACCAAGTTGTTTTTTTGTTTTTGTTTTTTTTTGCGGTACGCGGGCCTCTCACTGTTGTGACCTCTCCCGTTGTGGAGCACAGGCTCCGGACGCGCAGGATCAGCGGCCACGGCTAACGGGCCCAGCCGCTCCGCGGCATGTGGGATCTTCCCGGACCGGGACACGAACCCGCGTCCCCTGCATCGGCAGGCGGACTCTCAACCACTGCGCCACCAGGGAAGCCCGGCACCAAGTTTTAATTGGACACATGGTCACCCTGTTAGAGTGGGAGGTTCCAGGTGTGGCTGTGTTTGGGCCGGTGGGATGTGAGTGAAGGTGACATGCTCAGTTTCCAGATACGTGCCTTCCACTTCCTCTACACCCTCTTCCAGGGTGGGATGTGGAGAAGGTGGTGGTGACCAGGCCTCGCTGCTCCAAGCATGGTCCAAAGACCTGCAACATCAGCATCACCTCAGAGCTGGTTAGAAATGCAGAGGCTGAGGCCTCACCCCAGACCTACTGGATCAGCATTCTCATATACGGGTGGTTTGTGTACACTCAAGCTGGAGAAACACTGCCCTTAGAGGTTGAAAGAACAAAACAGAAGGACTGGGCAGCCTTCCAGTCTTGGACCACTTACCCCTGAAATGCTCAGTAAGAGAAAAACCTCCCCCATGTCAGAAGGTAAAGGCTGAAACACTCGCCAGCTGCACTTACTCAGAAAAGCAAGAATGCCTCCAAGAATCCCCAGAATGGCGGGAACTTGCAATCCTGCTCCAGCTTGAGGCCCGACCTTCCAACAGTTGCTGACAACTCCTTCACAGTCACACACGTGCACATCTAAGGTGGTCACTTGGTCTTTGTTCTGGTTGTCTATGAGCTTGAGATTGATTTTGTAGTCACCCACCTCTAGGGTTTTCTTTGGCTTAAAAAGCAGAGATTCATGTTCTGGAGGAATCAACAAAAATGAGGGGATCAGGAGAGATAAAACGTTCATTCTAGATTAAAATTATTAGGGAACTAGGGACATTCCAAAGCTGAATGAAGACAACAGCTGCTTGGGTTGTAGATTATTGGGCAGTATGTCACCGACTCAGACACCAGAAACACAAAGGGATCTTTGGTTCAATGCCACAAATGTAGAAGGGACAAGGAAACAAGCCTTAAAAGGGGTGACAAGTGGGGAATTCCCTGGCGGTCCAGTGGTTAGGACTCCGAGCTTCCACTGCTGGGGGCCCAGGTTCGATCTCTGGTCGGGGAACTAAGATCCCACAAGACGTGTGGTGCAGCCAAAACAAAACAAAAACAACAACAAAAAACAAACAACAACATAAAGGGGGTGACAAGTGGATATTGAGGAGGGAAATTCAGAAGCGGGAGGCGGGAGGGAAGCACGGGGTCAGAGCAAAGTTTCCAAAATAAGACTCAAGTGCCCACCTTGGTCATTGTACTCAATGGTCCAGTTGACACTTGCCCCATGTGTTAGTTCTGCTGTGAAGGGAGAAGTGTTGGGGGGAAGATCAGGATCAATGATGTTGATGATGAGAGGCTGTGGATCCCTCTGGCAGAAGTCCATGCTCCGAGGGTCTGGTACGGGGCCATTGTCATTCACATCATCGAGGAATAGAAGCAGCGTTCCTGTTCCAGTAGCAGGTGGAGAACCTAAGAAAATACACAGGAAATGTCATAGCTCAGGACCACTGATGAATCCCTAGTGCCTCCCATCAGATTGAATCCAACTCTTCTCCTGGCTCTTCGGAGCTCCCTCACCAGGCCCCACCCTGCCCACAAAGCCACCCATCCTGCAGGTTCCAGGCCATCCTCATTCCTGGCTGGGCAGACCTCTGACATGCCTATTCCCTACTTTGATAACAATTATTCAAGTTATTCCTCACACCAAGGACTCCCTCCATCTTCACACATAACTATTCATCCATTAAATTTTAACATCTCTATGCCAAGGGAGGTGGGGGAGGGAAGGAATGGGAGTTTGGGATTAGCGGATGCAAACTATTATATAGAGGATGGATAAACAACAAGGTCCTACTGTATAGCACAGGGAACTATATTCAACATTCTGTGACAAACCATAATGGAAAAGAATATGAAAAAGAATATATATATATATATATATATATATATATATATAGCTGAGTCACTTTGCTGTACGTAAGAAATTAACACAACATTGTAAATCAACTATACTTCAATAAAATTTTTTAAAAAAACACAACTTTTTTAAACCACTCTAAGAAGTCCTCCTCACCCCCTACTAGTTCTCCTTCTCTGAACTTCTAAGGCTCTAAGATCGTTATCAAAGTATGGAGCCTTTTACAATTGCCCCAAGTTGCTTTTCAGATTAGATTCAGAGATTTATACACAGTTCTGTTTGTATTTCTTTTACATCCTGACATAGCACTTGATAATAGAAAAAGTAGACCCTCAAAGAATCATCATCATCAATATTAGCATATCGCAGGGAAAACCCCAGAGGAATGGAGCGCAAATCCATAAATATTTACACCTGGGCGGCTATAGTGATTATTTTTTCTTTTTACCTCTGAAAATTGTGGTTAAAAGAAATAGCATAAAACTTATCATTTTAACCATTTTTAAAGTGCACAGTTCAGTCGTGTTAGTATAATCACATTGTGGTGAAACAGCTCTCCATAATTTTATCTTACAAAACTGAAATTCTGTACCCATTAAACAATTCCCTACTTCCCCCTCCAGTTCCTGGTAACCACCATTCTACTTTGTTTCTATGAATTTGACCACATTAGTACCTCATCTAAGTGGAAACCCACAGTATTAGTCATTTTGTGACCGGCTTATTTCACTATGCACAATGTCCTCAAGGTTCATCCACATTGTAACACATGACAGGATTTCCTTCTTTTTTAAGGCTGAATAATATTCCATTGTGTATGTGTATACCATATTTTGTTTATCCATTCACCCATGGATAGATCTTTTTACCTTATCATTTGAATTTTCTTGTTTTAACAATGAGCAAGTATAATTTAAAATTCTTTTTTAAAAAAATTGATTTATTTTATTTATTTTTGGCTGCATTGGGTCTTCGTTGCTGTGTGGGCTTTCTCTAGTTGTGGCGAGCAGGGGCTACTCTTCATTGCGGTGTGCAGGCTTCTCATTGTGGTGGCTGTAGTTGTGGTGTGCGGGCTTCAGTAGCTGTGGCTCACAGGCTTAGTTGCTCAGCAGCATGTGGGATCTTCCCGGAGCAGGGCTTGAACCTGTGTCTCCCGCATTGGCAGGCAGATTCTTAACCACTGCCCCTAAAATTCTTTTTAATTAAAGAAAACTTTAAAAAATGTTTTTTAATAAGATAATAGATTTTCTGAAGAAACTTCATTCTCCTCTTAGACCTACATCAAGAGTATTGGGTCATGCACAAAGTAACACTTGAAGGAATATATTCAAAAGTACCATAATTTAGCCATTAGTATTAGGTCAGGGGTCAGCAAACTAAGGTCTTCCACCCAAATTAGGAACACAGCTATGCTCATCCCTTTTCAAACTGTGTATGGCTTCTTCTAGGCTATGATGGCAATAGAGATTGTACGGTCTACAGAGGCTAAAATATTTACTCCCTGGAACTTTACAGGAACCTTGTCAATTCTTGGTTACCTCCAGGCCAGGCTAGGGAACTCCCGTTCAGCCAGAGACAGCTGGCCAGCAGAGCACTGCTGCCTAAGCAATGGGTTAGCTTCCCCTTTATGCAAAACATTTCTGCAAATGGAGCCCCATCATGGCTCTCTGCTTTTAACCTGCTGCCTCCCAAATGACAGCTCCAGGAGCAGGAATGACTAGGCCAGGGCTACCCTTCCACAGCATGCTCCGAATGTGATGAAGGCTACATCACTCATTAGCCACCCATCCAGCCCCACCATGGGCTTACTCGCCTTGCCCTTTGCTTTCCGGACTGCCAAATCTGGAATTACTACCTCGGGAGGTTGAGGAGGGAGAGGGGAACAGATTTAATCACAGGAACTAGCAGGTCTCTTTAACAGTAACTCCGCTTCTGAATATCTATCCGTGGGAAACACTTGCCCACAGAGGCATGTACAACGATGTCTACCTATCACTCACAAAAATAATGGAGAACTGGAAATAATCCCGGTGTTTTTTAATGTGTGAATGGTTAAATTATGCAATATGCAGAAAACATCATTTAATTGAAAAGAGGTAGATCTATAATGTGCCAAGATAGATCTCTGTGTCTTCCAGACATATGTTCAAGGAAAAAAAATTAAACATGCATAAGACAATGGCTTTTATAATAAAAACAAAAATAGGCTATAAACCAGATAGTGGCTTTATAATAAACCATATTTCTATATGTTTATAAATGTATTCGAATACACAGAAACAGTCTGGAAGGAGCCACACTTCACTAATAATGATGATGATGATAAAGATAATAACAGTCCTTACAGAGCACAGACTAGGTAGCAGGCACTCTTCCAAGCACTTTTACATAAATTAACTCATTTAACCTAGATGGGGTATTATCATTTTGCTGGATAAAGGAACTGAGGGACCTAAAAATTAGGTAATAAGTCCAAGTTCACACAGGTATTAAGCTTTGGTCCTAGGATCTAAACCCAGGCAGTCTGGCTCCCATGGGGCTCAGGTACAGAGGGAGCGGTAAAAAGGAACTTCTGCTTGGCCTAAACTCTGTGCATTTTGGACAATGCTTTGAGAACGCTTTGTTGAAGAATGAAAGAAAACGAAAGAATTCATGCCTCTAAAAGGATAGGGGCAAGGCAGTGAGCTGGTCAGGAGGGTGAAGCAGCAAAAACCAAATGGTAAGGGCATCCTCACCATCGTCAGTGGCTATAATGAGGGCCGTGTACGTGCTGTTCTTCACATGGTCGACGTTCTCTCTGTCCAACTCAGCCCGAGTGGAAATGGCACCCGTGTCCGGATTAATCTCCAGCCAGTTGGCAGCATCCCTCCAAATCCGATACCTGGAAAGACACAAGCTCTGATTTAGAACGGGAACAGCGAACGGTAGGTAGCTGAAGAAGGTTAAGGTTCCTCTTTGCTGATAGATACTTCTAACTTCCTTATTTCAAAAAAATAATGACTCCTAAAAAAAATAATAATAAAAAATAATGACTCCTACAGAAATTTTGCCAGAAAGGTTTGATGACAGTCCATGTACCCTTCACCTAGATTCATCCACTGTCGATATTTTGCTATATTACAAAAGTTGATGCACACATATACATAATTTCTTGCTTTGCTGAACCATTTGAGAGTAAGTCGCAGACATGATGTTCCTTTACTCATGAAAATGTCAGTGTGCTTTCTCCTAAGAACAGAGGCATTCTCTTACATAACCACAATTTGATTTTCAATTTCAGGAAATATAACTTTGATATGGTACTACCACTTCATACATGGTACATATTCAAACTGTAGATTTCCCCCAAACTGTACCCCCCTCCCCCGCCCCTGCCCCAATCCAATCCAGAATGCAATCCAGGATCAGGCATGGCATTTAGATGTCAGATTTCTTTAGTTTCTCTCAGACTGACCCCCCTAAAGCGTACAGCAGTTCTCAAATGGTCACAGTATGGCACCCAACACCCCCGCCATGAGCATTTGGAGATTTGGGTTGACATGGTGACTTGGGAGTATGCTGCACTACTGGCATTTAATGGGAGGTGCCAGGGACGGTAAAGCTCCTTCTGGTCGTACACAGCCACCCCCAAAAAAATTATTCAAAATGCCAAGAGAATCCTGTTAAGCCACACCTTATTAGGAATACCAGAAACAGAAGAAACGTAAGCATAAAAAACAGAGATGTACTGCCCAGTTATCTATCGAGGTCATTGAGAGGCTCAGAAAGGGAAATAAAGAAATCGCAGGAGGAAAGGGTCCTGGATACCTGTAGGCTTATCCTCACGTCCTTAGAAGTGCAAAGCAATGAACTACATATATCGAGTGGTCTTTATTCCAGGGCTAAGGGTCTCTGCAAACACTATGTAGACTTGGTCCTTGAACTTCCCCAAATAGATGCTTTGAACTACCTATTTCATTACTACAAGCTAAGCTATCAACACAGGCTGGAAACCATACAACCCAAGGCTTTAGTCACAAAACAAAAAATCCTACAATATCACGATGCCATTAACACACCTACCAAAAATAAATAATTACTTAGTGTCAAGTCTACGCGCAAGTTTCTCTATTTGCCTCAAGGGTGTCTTTTATAGTTGGATTGTTTGAATCCATCTTTAAGCATAGTCTACACATTACAATTGGTTGATTCCTCTCTTAATCAACATCCTTAATCTAAGCAGTCACCCCCACCCTTCTGTCATTATTTGCTAAAGAAACTGGGTCATTTGACATAGAGCTCCCATATTCTGCATTTGGCTGACTGCTTCCTCATGACATTTAACTTGTTCATTCTCTGTACTGCATCAAAATCAAATCCTAGGGCTTCCCTGGTGGCTCAGTGGTTGAGAGTCCACCTGCCGATGCAGGGGACACGGGTTCGTGCCCCGGTCCGAGAAGATCCCACATGCCGCGGAGCTGCTGGGCCCGTGAGCCATGGCCGCTGAGCCTGTGTGTCCGGAGCCTGTGCTCCGCAGCGGGACAGGCCACAACAGTGAGAGGCCCGCGTACAGCAAAAAAAAAAAACAAAAAAACCAAATCCTAAGGTTTGATTAGAGTCTGTTTCAACCCTTCTTTTCTCCCCCAAATATAATGTTTAAGTGGCACTGTGTACATGCTGTTGAATCACTTCAAGTGGCACTTCATGTTGGGCTGTCCTTGCTCTTCCAGCAGATGTTAAAATCTATCAGAAGGTTTGGATGGTCCCAGCTTGGTTCCTCCATTTAAAAATTCCTCATCATCCTTGACCTAATGATTCTAGCAGCCATTAATATCACTACCTGGATCCTTTTTATCCGTATGGTGCACATGCACAGTTTAAAGCTATTTATGAGCCCTTCCAATCAGGATAGAATTAGCACTTCCCAGAATAACTCAGAAATTGAAGCTGCACTTAAACTTCATGTTTGTTTTACATTTAATAAGTCACAGGCACTGATACTAAAACACAAACACCTCCCCCTCCAAATAAGAACATGCTCAATTTATTACCAAGTGGGACTCTATACTGGATTTGCATAACCTTTTTTCTAAATAGTTCAGAGCATTCTAATAGTTTCCTCTAAAGTAAATATTAACAGGTAGGAATCTCTCTCTGAGAAGAGGAAGTGACCGAGGCCTTTGTTATCTCTGGAAATCATGCTATTACTAAAAAGACGCAGATGTGCCATGCTTGGATTTGTGCTTAACAGTCTTCCCTTTGAGTTTCCACCATTGTCACACCTGAACACCAAGTATGTCATCAGACCTAGCTCTCAGAAGAATAAGAACATCCTTTATCATGCGTGGCCACAGCGGTGTTGCTGTTGGTTGGTTTGTATGTGTGTTTTCAGCATCTGTGGCTGTGATTTACATTACAGAAGTGCCTTCAAGTTTACAAAACAAAAAAAGAAACAGTAAGCTACTTACAACACAATACCATGTATGTAAATTAAAACCACATTCCTACTGCACTAAGTGACTTCAAAAAGAGGAAGCACAGTAAACCGACAATGGCTGACCATGGACGGAATGGACAAGGTGTGGGGACTGGGGATAAAAATATAAATAAGCCAAACAAGAGAAGGATCTTCCACAGACCAATGATGATAAAAATGCCATGAACAAAATATTTTATACATACACGTACGCACACAGCCAGTTGCTGCCAGTAGGTGGAAAACCCCTCACACTTACGTGATCTTCTGTTCCATAAATCTGTCTGGCTCCTGGGCGGTGTAGGATGTGATCTCCAGGCCCAAGCCGAAGTCCTCGGGCACTGTCACTTTCTTCTGAGGAGGCATGAAGATGGGGGCTTCATTCACATCCATCACGTCCACGGTGACGGTGGCTGTGGAAGTGGAGAGAGTGACCTCAAAGGGGGCCACATTAGTCACTGCCACATACAGGATGTACTGCTGCTTGGCCTCAAAATCCAAGCCCTAAAGAGCAGAAAAAACACATTTTATGTTAGAAAAAAACCCCATTAAATCCTTAACTATTGTTTTTTGGTTAGCAATATATCAGTGGTTCTCACATCTGGCTGCATTAAGAAGAACTCACTTGAGAACTTTTAAAGAAGACACATGCCTGGACCCTAACCCCAGAGCCATTGAATAGGAATCTCTGAGGTTGGGGTCTGGACATCAATATTTTTTAAAAAGTTCCCAATGACTAACATGCAACCAGATTCATGTTGAGAACCCCAGTCAAGAATAAAGATGAGCTACATGAAATCTCAAGTGGCAAGCCTCTATTAACAAATGTAGCACATTAAGTCATTTATTTACCTGAGACCAGTAAGCATGTTCACATCCTATGCTGACATGCTGCCCGTGTGACAGCAAATGGACAAATGACCCTGCCTGTCTACCTCCCTAACCCCAGTAAGTTTAGTGGCAAGAACATGAAGTTCAGAATCAGCTGGCAGTGAGCTCAAATCCCGGCCTGGCCATTTCCTAGCTGTGTGATTTGGGCAATAGAACCTCTGGGTCTGTTTCCACACCTAAATAAGTAGGAAAAGGAACTATCTCACAGAGGCACTGTAAGGGATCAACTGGAGCTTTTATGAAGGACCTTGCGTATGGTGGGAACTCAAATTACTACCTTTTTTCTTTTGGTGATAGAATAATAACAGAAAATGCTGACATCAAATGTTTAGTGGGAGGACTTCCCTGGCGGTGCAGTGGTTAAGAATCTGCCTGCCAATGCAGGGGACACGGGTTCGAGCCCTGGGCTGGGAAGATCTCACATGCCGCGGAGCAACTAAGCCCGTGCACCACAACTACTGAGCCTGCACTCTAGAGCCCGTGAGCCACAACTACTGAGCCCACGTGCCACAACTACTGAAGCCCGTGCGCCTAGAGCCTGTGCTCTGCAACAGGAGAAGCCGCCACAGTGAGAAGCCTGCGCACCGCAACAAAGAGGAGCCTCCGCTCACCGCAACTAGAGAAAGCCCACACGCAGCAAAGAAGACCCATCTCAACCAAAAAAAAAAAAAAAAATTAAATAAGTAAATTTAAAAAAAGAAATGTTTAGTGGGAGTTAAGATGACGTACTAAGTGATTCAGAAATGAAGGGTCTGCTCACTTGCTCAAGGGGAAGTCAAACCTCTGGCGCTAAGTTAGGGATCCGTTCATTAACTCTTTGACTAACTTCAACAAGGAAATCACGCCACTTCTTACTGTTCATGTTTCCTAGACATCTTTCACAGGCTTATCTGCCCTTCTTCTAAAATCATCCAGCAAAATAGCAGAGACCATAAACCATTTTTCTTCTCATTTGCAAAATGGATATGGGGGGGTGGGCAAATGTTTCAGAGAAAGAACATATTAAAGCAGATGGTACAGACTTCCCTGGTGGCGCAGTGGTTAAGAATCCGCCTGCCAATGCCGGGGACACGGGTTTGAGCCCTGTCCCGGGAAGATCCCACATGCCACAGAGCAACTAAGTCCGTGCGCCACAACTACTGAAGCCCGTGCACCTGGAGCCCGTGCTCCTCAACAAGAGAAGCCACCGCAGTGAGACGCCCGCGCACCGCAACGAAGAGTAGCCCCTGCCTGCCGCATCTAGAGAAAGCCTGTGCGCAGCAACGAAGACCCAACACAGCCAAAAATAAAAAAAATAAATTTATAAAAAATAATAATAATAAAAATAAAACAGATGGTAGGGTGTGGTGTGGGAGCTTCCTGATTTCTCACATGAGCCTGAAGAGTCACTGCAAACCCCACCAGAATCTGGGAGAGCTGCCCTCCCCCACCCCACCAAGGCCACACTAATCTACTTCAGAGGAGACACCAGGGGACAAGGGCCTCTGGCTGCGTTGTCAATTTCTGCATCTTGCCAGGAACGATACAAACCTTAGCCGTCTTCAAAACGCCTTCATTGGTTTCTGGGTCTGTGATGACAACAAACTGCTTCTCGTTATCGTTTAATATTGTGTAAACGGCCTCCCACGCTGGGGTATTGGGGACATCGGCATCGGTCACTGTGAGTGTGGTGATGACCACGTTAGCCTCGTTCTCAGGCACCGACCCCACGTACTGCAGAGCAAAGAAAAGGATGTGTCACTTAGGACATACTCAGACCCAGCAGTGGAGCCAGGGTTCAGGGGGCTAAGGGAGTCCTTTCTTGAGCCCAAGCTTTGATGAGTCTTTGAAGAAGTGCTCACCCTACCAGCATGGCCCTTATTTCCTGTTGGTGGAGCAGCCAGCACTCAGGGACCCTGTGAGTACCTGAAGGAGCCAAGGCCCTGGCTGTCCGCACCTCTCAGCGTACTCTGGCCCAACTGCTGACACTGTAGCTTATCCCCCATTCCCGTCTTCCCCATCACTCTCAGTGGTACCAGTAATTTTCATAAATGTCTGGTCGTTACAGTCTTCTACTTAAAACCCTTTGGTAACATCCCACTGCACTCAGGATAAATTCTGAAATTCTAAATTCAGTCCACAAGGTCCTGTAGGACCTGGTCTCGTTTGGTTCATTACACTGACTGTTTTTCAGTTCTTGCTATTCATCAAGCTTCCTTTTGATGCGGGGCATTAATCTGTCTTTCTTAAGCCTCCTGTACTCACAGTGGCTAGGTTAGAGTGGCAGACACCGCTAATTGTCTACTGAATATCCACTCTCCTCTTCTTCACTAACTACGTGGTTGACGGCAGCGACGTGCCCAGAGAAAATACTGTATTTCCAGTCTTCCTTGCAGACAGCAGTTGCTAGTAAATGAAACTTGTGGGATGGGTCTTCACAGAAATAAGAAAGCTTGACTTGACATCAAGACCTTATGCCCCCTCGACTTTGCCACCTTCTTGAACGAAGCACAGATAGGGCTGGAGCTCCAGCTGTCATCTTGGACCACAAGGTGACAATGGGGATAGAATCCATGTACCAAGGATGGTGGGAAAGCAGATAAAGGAGGCTTGGTTTCTATTGACTGAGTGGACTATCTACCTCTGGACCGTTAGTGACACAAGAGAAAAAGTTAACCCTGTTTGTTTAAACCACAAGAGTCAAATCTCTGTTACTAACCATTAAGCCGATTTCTAGGTAACACAATAAGGTTTCAGGTTCTTTCACACAGCTCTCAATACCTTCTCCTTGACTGCATTTAATATAATTATACACAATAATCGGTATAAGTTGTATAACATCACCCTAGCTAGACTATAAACTCCACAAGAATAGAAGTGTCGTCTGCCTTGTTTGTGATAATATCCCCAGTGTCTAAGACAGTGTCTGGTATAAACCCAGAGAATATTTGTTCAACGAATAACTAAAACCTGGTAAGATCTGCTACCAAGATGAGGACATGCAGTAAATAGGTGCTTTTTTTCTTCTTATTTTTATTTTTTTTAACATCTTTATATGGAAGTTCCTTAAAAAAAAAAAACTAAAAATAGGTGTTTTTTGCAACTTCAGAAACCTGTGTCAATAGGTCCCAGGCTGAGGAGGGCAGAGACAACTGACATCCCGACCTGCTTGCTTTTTAGCTTCAAGTTTACTAGTCTGGAAAACATTTCCAAAGGGTTCACCCATGAGATACTGGGAAACAACCAAGGACCTTTGGAGACTCTCTAAGGAGTTGCAGGGTTATTACCATAGTTGGGTTGAAGATGGGAGGGTTATCATTGGTGTCATTGACTGTGATCACAGCTGTTGCGGTCGTGCTTAAGCCTTCACCTTGCAGGTCTGCAGCTTGAACCACCAGGGTATACATGGGAAAACTCTGTAGAGATCAAACACACCTGAGTCAGGACTGACAGCCACATCAGGCACAGCCCAGCCCATCACAGAGAAACAGATTATTTTCTCATCTGCTTAAATGCCAACCTGCCTGCCTGCCTGCCTGGCCCCAAACCTCTGGACAAACGTTTAGATACAAAGCTCAGAACCATCACCATACGAAGCAGCAACTGGCCTCGGCAGAGTTTTACATCATCCAGACGATCGAGCTATTTGCCCTCAATACCCTCTGGATCCTCTTGACCCCTGACCTCCCGGTCCAGCCCGGTGGTGAGCACACTGATGACACCCGTGTCCTTGTTGATGGTGAACATTTTGTTGTGCGGCAGCGTAGGCTCTTGGCTGAGGATGGTGTAAGCAATGGCAGCGTTGTAGGTGTTCACATCATCGTCTGCGTCTGTGGCCGAGACCTCCATCACAGAGGTCCCTGGGAGCAAAGGAGAAGATTTACTCAAGCTACACTTTAATTTCCAAAATTCTGACTAAAGCGCCAGGGGAGGAAGAAAGCATTCCACCAAATGAGCAAGTGGTGTTCCCAGAACCCAGCTTTTCCAGAGGGTATTTTGGGTCGGGAGGGTGGGTGAGGAGTATGGGGGATAAATAACCTTAAGCTAAAACGTTTTTGCTATGTCTCTTATACTGAGTGAATAGTGTATAAAACAGGAAAAATACCAGAAGTTTCCATAATTGGCTTCTTAGCCACAGCTCCACCTGACAGAATGGTCATTTGAGATTGTTGCCTTTAAGGTAGAAGGAAATATTTACAACACCTGTGACAGACAAAGTACTAGTTCACAGAATACCTAAATAATTCTTCAAGAATCAATAGGCAGAAAAAAAAAAAAAAAAAGAATCAATAGGCAGGGACTTCCCTGGTAGTGCAGTGGTTGGGAATCCGCCTGCCAATGCAGGAGACACAGGTTCGATCCCTGCTCCGGGAAGATCCCACATGCTGCAGAACAACCAAGGCCGTGTGCCACAACTACTGAGCCTGCACTCTAGAGCCCGCGAGCCACAACTACTGAGCACACACACCGCAACTACTGAAGCCCATGCACCTAGAGCCTCTGCTCCGCAACAAGAGAAGCCACCGCAATAAGAAGTCTGCGCACCGAAACGAAGAGTAGCCCCTGCTCACCAAAACTAGAGAAAGCCCATGCGCAGCAACAAAGACCCAACGTGGCCAAAAATAAATTTAAAAAAAGAATCAATAGGCAGGCACGCGCAGCCCCACAAGTACGTGCCTCAGGAGAGCCCGTACTATGGATCCACTGGCAAAGCAGATCTTTAAAGGAGTTTTAGTAGCTGAACTTGTGGGCATTTTTGGAGCATATTTTTTGTTCAGAAAGATGAATACAAGTCAAGAGTTCAGGCAAACAATGAGCAAGAAATTCCCCTTCATCTTGGAAGTTTATTGCAAGTCCACTGAACACTCTGGAATGTACAGAATCAGAGAGCAAGAGCAAGAAAAGTGGCTGAACAGCAAAAATTAAGAATTTGACCATCAATCAAGGTTTGCCCTATTTCATAGTATCAGGCAAGATTAAAACTCCAAAGTTGACATGGATGGATTTTAGAATATTTAAGGTGAAATGTAAATTCTAATTAAAGCAGTTGTTCTTTGGACTAACCGTGAAGAAATTGATGGAACGTTTATTATGTTATAAATGGAGTTTCATTTACTACTCAAAATAAAGTGGTTCTCCTTTAAAAACAAGACAAACAAACAAACAAACTCCCCTATAATTCTGTATAAACCTGTCAAAATAGATAAAATACTAAAACATCTATTTTTTTTTAATAAATTTATTTCTTTTATTTATTTATTTTTGGCTTTGTCGAGTCTTCCTTGTGGTGCACGGGCATCTCATGGTGGCTTCTCTTGCTGAAGAGCACAGCCTCCGGGCGTGCGGGCTCAGTAATTGCAGCCTGCGGGTTCAGTAACTGTGACACGCGGGCTCTAGAGCGCAGGCTCAGCAGTTGTAGAGCACCGGCTTAGTTGCTCGCGGCATGTGGGATCTTCCCGGACCAGGGCTTGAACCCGTGTCCCCTGCACTGGCAGGCGAATTCCCAACCACTGCTCCACCAGGGAAGCCCTAAAACATCTATTTTTAATATTTATTACATTTTTTCTTTTTCATTATAGTTTATTACAAGATGTTGAGTAAAGTACCCTGTGCTATACAGCAGGACCTTGTTGTTTATCTCATTTATCCCCCTCTCCTCTCCCCTTTGGTAACCATAGGTTTGTTTTCTGTCTGTGGGTCTGTTTCTGTTTTGCAAATCAGTTCATTAATATTTATTACATTTTAACTGAAACATTTAAAATCACATTATCTAAAAATATATTAACTAGAAATATTGCTTTTATCCAGTTTCACTTTACGTGAAACACTATTCAAACTCTACATCAATGTCTCTGGTACTACTGGAGCCCTTTTGGAATAAAATTTGTCATTTAAAAAAAAAGAAAAATCAATAGGCAAAAGACAAATAGCCCAAGAGACAAAAAGGGCAAAAGACTTGAACAGGCAAGTTGTAAAGAAACCCAGCTGGTCAGCAAACATATGATAAGACGCTTATTTAGTCCATTAATAATCAGAGAAATTCCATTTTAAGTTATGTTGAGATATAACTACACACTCAACAGATTGGCCAAAAAGAAGTCAAACAATTCCATGATATATATTGCTGATGGGAGTATAAATTGGTTCAGCCACCTTGGAAAACAGTTTGTCACCAAGTAGAAAAGTAGGCAAAACTGTAAGTACACACGTGGTAAAAGATAAATGAAAGCAAGGGAATGATTATCACAAAAGTCAGGGTGGTGGCTGTCTTTATGGAGGAGGGAAAAAATGTGATCAGGAAGGATTGTACAGGGTCTGTAAACTACTAACAAGGATCTGTTACTTAATCAGGGAAGGTTGTTCTTAAACTGCTCCTTTCTTAAACTGGGCTTAAACATTTTATACATATTTCTATAGGTAGGATGTTTTACACACAAACAGTGTCTTCCAAAGAAGTTCTGTGCATATGAAGGGTCTGACCCCAAACGCCAGCCCCAACACTTGGGGGTGCAAAGAATCTAAGTGTCTTGATGGGTGTTGATCTCCTCATTGATGGACGTACCTGGAAGAGCGCCCTCCATGACAGACCCTTTGAAGACCTCCTGGGTGAACTCAGGCTTGTTGTCATTCTGATCGGTCACGGTGATCACAATCTCCATCGGCTCCTCGATTGCTTGCCCGTCTGAAGACACAGCATGAGAGAAGAGCTGCAAGAGCCAGGTGAGGGTTACTCGGGAAGACAAGGTGGGAAAAGTGGTCCAACCAGAGCAGAGTGGGCTCCACCCGGCCCCCACTCCCTCCCACTCAAGCATGCATGGACCCCCCCTGCCCCGCCCCAAGCACAGAACATCCCACACACACGTGCTGCTGCTTCAGTGAGGTCATGACACTGGTTAAGACCATGACCTGTGAGACCATGGGCTGGAGAACACATCCACCAGCTCAGAGCCCCATTTCCCACATAAGGGCTGGGGGCCGGGCCTAGGAGATAAAGGTGGAAGCCTAAAACACTCTGACTGGTTCCAAGCAGGGTCGAATTTGCTCTGGCTGCTCAAGTCTAGCGTTCCCCCCAGACTTCCCTGTGTTTGGCATCAACGCATTACCTCCCAGCTTCCCTAAGCTCACACTGCTCTCAAGGCCCAGAAATAGTTTTTGTTCCCCAACATCAACACCAGCCTCTGCCTATGTGTCAGGGACTTTGAGTCCCAAGAACAGGTTGACATCTTGGGTCTAAGATCATGTCTGATGCCCCAGGACTCTCCCCACTTTATTCCTAACAAGGAAAACATGAACAGCCCCCAATTTTTGCAGGTTCTCCTGTCATTTCTCCTTATCAACAGGTCTAAAGGTATCAAGTTAAGCTCTTCAAATGTCCAGAACATCTGATCTATGATCAGTGTGAGTTGACCAAAAAAATTTTGAAAGGATGTAACCCCATCATTAAGTGCTTTTAAGAGACACTCACAATGTACTTGGCAATATCTTCTCTATCCAGAGGCTCCGTCACCTTTAGCCATCCTGTTTCTCTTTCAATAATAAACACATGAAGAGGGGGTGTGTCGGCTCCTTGGCCAGTGATGCTGTAGAAAACTTTGGTTTCTTTTTCCCTGTTAGATTTGATCTGAAGACAAAACAGAAAGAAATGAATTAGCAAGGAAGGATTCTGACATTGGCTCTTTTCCCTTTCTCTCCTTGGTCCTTCTCTGCCAAATTCCTCCCAGAGAAATAGAGAACTTCCTTCTGTACCTGAACCAGAGCCTTAGGAAATGGGCCTTTCTCATTTTCTGGGCAGCTGATAGGAGGAATAACCCAGTCTCTCTTCTGTCTCCTGAGACCATGGTGGGAGCTGGGAAATGTGAGCACTTCTGTCTGGGTTCCAGAGGGAGAGTCCTAAAAGGGAAGAAGATGAGGAACAAAATGAGATAATTCAGGAAAGGTGATACGGGCTGAACAACCTAGGCAGTCTGCATCTCCAGCCTTCTGAGGGCAGGGCATGGTTTTCATTTAACAACAAAATAAAACAGCCAAAACAAAACCCAACAGACCTCTTTACCATATCAGAAGGATGGTTTCCTCTTTTGATCCTTCTTAGTGTCCAGAGTTCAGTAATCATTATGCACACACGATGATAGGTTTGAGGGTTTGACATTATTTAAGAGTTATTTCAAGCCTATATCTCACACCTGTCATTTTTTAAAATATTTATTTTATTTATGTATTTATTTTATTTATTTATTTAGTTGCACCGGGTCTTAGTCACTGCAGGTGGGCTCGTTAGTTGCGGCTCACAGGCTCCTTAGTTGCGGCTTGTCAGCTCCTTAGCTGAGGCTCACCAGCTCCTTAGTTGCAGCATGCGAATTCTTAGTTGCGGCATGCATGTGGGATCTAGTTCCCTGACCAGGGATCGAACACAGGCCCCCTGCATTGGGAGCACGGAGTCTTATCCACTGCGCCACCAGGGAAGTCCCACGCCTGTCATTTTTAATAGGACATTATACTCCAATGATTTACTATCAGAGCTTATTCAAGAATTAGATATTCAGGTGTTTTTAATATTCTTTTCTTTTATATTTTTCCTAGTGATATAGGTCTCCAAAGTAGAGTTAGTCTAAGTGAATAAGTTTTGGGAACTTACTACTTTGTGATCAATACTAATCCCTTAATCCCACTGTGTTAGTATATCTGTATGGTTTCCATTTGTTCTAACAGAAGTTGTTTGGATGGGAACCAAAAGTGCCCTTTGAGACTTGTATTGAACAGTTTTCATGTGCGATAACTTTATGCACACACAGGGAAATAAGATAGCTGAAGATGGAAGGAAAGATCTTCCAAATTGTTTTAAGTGTTCTAAAGTGATTGGTAGTAACACAGTAAAGGTTCCAGGACAATTACATCTTCCATCCTCCACAGAGTCACCCATCCCTGTCTGTCAAGTGAGAGTCAAGCCCTGCTTCCTGGCTTTTAAAATGTGACTCAAAATGCACAAGACAGACATGAAATATGACCAGATATCATCACAAAATCCTTCCCAATCCTGCATTCCTGTATACTAGTCACTCACACACCCCTTAACACACACCCTCTGCATTAACCTCCTAGAGAAGCAGTCCTGCCCTGGCCAAGGGCAGGCTCTGGAGCCAGGCTGCCTGGCTTTGTATCCTCACTGTGACACCTCACCTTCCTGAGCTGATTATTTAACCTCTCTGTCCCACACTTTCCTCATGTCTAAAATGAGGATTATATTAGTATCTGCCTCATAGGGTCCTTGGAAGGATAAAACGTGATACTAGTATTGCAGTAAAGCACTTAGAATACTGCCTGAAACATAGTACGTGCTCAATAAATGCTAATGATGAAGATGATGGTTGGATTGGTTGGAAAACACTGAGTTATGGTTTTAATGAAGTGGAATTTGGGATTTGACCTGAGCACAGGAATAAATACTAAACTGATTCTCAACACGGTATCCTAAGCCTAAAAATGACCATCTTGCACAGCCATGGTAAAAAAAACAGGTCTTGATGAATGAATGCAAATTCATTTGCCATATTGAAGAGGAAGGCAAAGAGCACACCTTGCTGACATCAGGACTATGGAATATTTTCAGAGAATGATAATAAATAATGATGAACATTGTGCTGGCAAAACATAGCATTAACATCTTCATGTGTGAAATTATTATTTTTTTTAAATAAAGATATTTATTTATTTATCTATCTATCTATTTATTTGGCAGTGCCGTATGGCTTGTGGGATCTCAGTTCCCTGACCAGGGATTGAACTCAGGACCATGGCAGTGAAAGCCCAGAATCCTAACCACTAGGCAACCAGGGAATTCCCTTCATGTGTGAAATTAAAAGGAATCGTGTCTAAACATACTGAACATGGGATCCATCCCTCAGAAAACAAGGATACCAGACCAAGAAAACCCATCCAACCAAAGAGACAAAACTGGAAAGTTAGATCTATTTATATTTTTTCCCCAGCTTTCTTGAGGTATAACTGACAAAATAAAAATTGTTTGTATTTAAGGTGTACGATGCGATGTTTTGATATATATAGGATCTGTTCTTATATGAAGTAAAAGAGAGGTAAGATTATCACCCCTTCCAGTGTAGGGCCACCTGGCACCACAAGGGTCCCTTGAACTAGGGGCAAACCAAAGTCAACCTCAAACCAGCTGTGGTAGAGTTGCCACCTACCGCTCAATATCCATTCTTTCTCATTTAAAATCAAAAATCTCTCTTTCTCTCCCTCTGTCTCTCTCCCCGTATATATATAAATTTTGTGTCCAACAATGTACCTAAGTAAAACTACATTTCCTATACTACACTTGTATCTAGGTGTGACCATGAAGCCAAGTTCCAACTAATGAGACGTAAGCAGAAACATTGCTTCAAAATTCCACAAAGCCTCCTTTAAAAGGTGGACAGCTAAGTGATACATTTTTGGGCTTCCTCCCTTCCAACTTCCTACCATCCAGAGGAAAGGTATGATAAATGGCGATCCAGCAGCCACCTTGGATCATGAGGTATCGTTGAGGATGGGAGGCATATGCTGAGGATGATAGAACAGAAAGGAAAGAAAGAACCTAGCCTCCTGATGACTACAGGCGTCTCCATACTGGCCACAACTTACCACTCAACTGCCTCTACTTGAAAGAGAAATACTCTATTTTACATAAATCACTGTAATTTGTGCTTTTCTATAATACATATCTGAACATAATCATGAAGGCAGATGGCAAAGGTGAAGAGGAAAAGTTGAAAAATCAACTTTGTTTACATCTGTGCATCATAAGAGGCTTCCATACACAGCTGCCCAGCAAGAACTTACCAGGCTGGACTTACATGAATGATAGAATTAATTGGAGACTGAAGTCAGGAAGCTATGTTAATTTAGTTCCCCACTTTTCTGGTCTGGCCAATTACACCAGGGAGAAAAATCAGATCTATCAGGACTATTAAATTCCTAGAATCTCAACAGTCTTCAGGGAGAAAGACAAGAGCCAGCCTGAAAGGCCTTGGCAGTTACAGTACTTCCACGCTCCCAACGCGATAGCGGGATACAACTAGAATGGCCCTCCAGAGAGACGTTTCAGTAGGCAGCACCATGGGAGCAGTTTAGAAACTGGCAAAGGCATTTGGCTTTGGTTAACAATTTCCCGAAACATTCTTGCCAAGAACCTGGGCAGACATGTATCCTTTCATTTGTGGCCAATGCACCCATCTGTCCACTCAATATTTACTGGGCTCCTGGTATATGCCAGGTCCAAAGGCCAGGCACTGCAGATACAATGGGGAAGGATCTTGTGGAGATTACAGTCCAAACAGGCAAAAGCTTCTTCTTCCCCTTCTTTGCCAAGGCCCTCTCCACTAGAGACACGAAGAGCAAAATGACCAGAGAACTGAACTCGTGTTCATTGTTCCTCTGGGAAGGGAATGAGAAGAACAGTTAACAATTACTGAGTACTTGTCATACGCCTACCATAGTTCCAGCAACTCACATGTAATAGTTCATGTAGTCATTACTATCCCCATTTTATTTATAAGGAAATTCAAGCACAGACAGATTAAATAACTCCCCCAAGTCTACTTGGGTAGTAAATAGAAGGGTTGGTACCCAATCCCAGACAGAATCCATGCCCTTACCCCCTATTCTACACTACCTGCAGAAAGAAGGTAGTGTATCTTGCCATCCACCCAACAACAACAAAAAATCCACAGCAAGAACTAGTTCAGTTAGACCAATGGTTCTCAACTAGGGGCTATTTAGCACCCCTTCCGCCCACCCCCCAGGGGGCATTGGCAGTGTCTGGAGACAATTTTGGTTGTCACAACTGGCAGAGTGCTGCAAGCATCTAGCGGTTAAGACCAGGGATGCTGCTAAACATCACATAGTGCACAGGACACACCCACAGCAAGAAATTACCCAGCCCCAAATGTGAACAGTGCCAAGGCAGAGAAACCTGGATTAAGAAGCATACTAAAATAATAGTGAACTTCTAAGAAACACTCCAACGTACATGATGATGGTGGTGGTGATGGTGGTGCACTACTGCCTTCAGGGTCACTTTGGTGGAGAGCTTCCTGTGGGTGGAGTCCCAGGCATGGACAAGAAAACTCATCTCTGGATGACGAAGGTGTAAAGGCCGTTTGACTGTAACCACGCCATCTGTGCCCACTTTGAATCGGGTGTCATCAGAAACATAGGCTGTCTTTGGTAGACCGGTGCATCCTTCAAAACTCACTGCAGGGTATAAATCACAGTGATTAGGAAACTGAGGAGATTAAAGAGCATTCCTTCTCTAGAAATTGAACTTCATTCACCCACCAAAAGCCTGACTCACACAAAACAGGCACAAGTAAAACATACCATAGTCTGATGACAGAACAGCAAAGATATCAAAGTAGTGGAAGCCATCATTATGTCCTTCACAATTACAGGGCGACTTAATTGTGGTCCGATTCTTTTCTCATCTACCTGGAGACTGAAAACAGTAAGCTGTCTAGAGAGTAACTTCTGGGCTTCCCTCGTGGCGCAGTGGTTAAGAATTTGCCTGCCAATGTAGGGAACACAGGTTCGAGCCCTGGTCTGGGAAGATCTCACATGCCGCAGAGCAACTAAGCCCGTGAGGCACAACTACTGAGCCTGCGCGTCTAGAGCCTGTGCTCCGCAACAAGAGAAGCCACTACAATGAGAAGCCCGCCCACCGCGATTAAGAGTAGCCCCCGCTCGCCGCAACTAGAGAAAGCCCACGCACAGAAACGAAAACTCAACACAGCCAAAAATAAACAAATAAGGTTATTAAACAAAAAAAAGACTCCACCTTTAAAAAAAAAAGAAAAGAAAAGAAAGTAACTTCTCCTTTTCAATAACAAAAAAGGGCCTCTCCTTCAGATGGCTCTTGATGATATGAAAAATAACTGAGAATATCTACTGAGTCCAAAAGTTTGAGACCTAGGTACAGTGAGATGCTGTGGATTAACTACATTTAAATAAACAGTTTACATTTCAGTAAACAGTGGCAGATAATAAGAGGGAGGCATCACAGCTACATGGTTAAGGGTAAGGACTTAGGCAAATTTTTTAACTTCTCTGAGCCTCAGTTTCTTCATCTTCAAAATGAGGGTAATTATGGTGCTCACCCTCCCGCCCCCAAACATGGTCTTATTTTCCCTGGCAAGGGTGGGGCTCAAGTCCCAGCTCTGCTTATTAGCTCTGTGACCTTGGGCAAGTCACTGAATCTCTCTGTGCCTCAGTCTACCCATCTGTAGAATGAAGTCATCGATAGCAACTACCTACTAGGCTTGTTTTAAGATACATAGAACATGGGGGTTCCCTGGCAATCCAGTGGTTAGGACTCCACACACGTGACGTGGCCAAAAAAAAGAAAAAAAAAAGATACATAGAACAGTGCCTGGCACATAATAGACACTATTAAATAAAAATTTTAAAACAAACATAGCTTTGGCTAATCATTTATTCAATTTTCCACAAAAGACATAGATAATTGTGATATTCATTAAGTACTGACTATATGCTTATTTTCCGAGGCATTGAGAGGTAATGCCTGCTTGCAATCTGAGGCCCAGTGGAGAAACTCTATCACTGTCAGTTAAGGGAGACAATGAAGATTTCATAGGAAAGTCTTCTACCTGAACATACAACACAGCAAGACAAATGCAAAAGACAGAAGAGAACTACTTGGGTGGGGGAACTTAGGATCAGTGGCTTAGAGACAAAACTATTTAAAGTTTTATAGTTATTAAAGTATTAAAACTTTAAAAGTATTAATACCCAATGCTGGAGAAGCTGTGGTGAAAAGTGTCTGCACTAAACATCAGAGTCCTAAAAGACTCATTCGTTCAACAGGCTTCCATCAAACTATTTGTCAGAAACTGTGCTGGGCTCTAAGGATGAAAAAAATTCTGTGAACAAATAGACAAGGCACCTGCTCCCCTTGAGCTTACACTGTTGTGGAAGAGATGGACATGTAACAAAACCAAATCTCAGGTAGTGACAAATGTTAGATATAAAGGAATTAAAGAAGGTGATACAAGAGTGACAGGGGAAGAGGAAGGTGTGAGGAGGGTGTAACTTATACTGGATGGTGAGGGCTGGCCTCTGTGAAGTTGGAGGCGTCTTAGTTGAGACCTAAGGAGCCAGCCTTGCAGAAACCTGGCTCAAGGGCCTTTCAGGCAGAAGGAACAGTGGATAAAACAGTTCTTTCTGGGAAACTCTCAAGTTGGCCTGTTCTCCTCCCTTTCAAATAATCGCCCCCTCATTCTTCCAGTGGGCGTTCGATTTTGTCCAAGAGATCTTTTACAAAAATTCCTACTTTTGTGCCAATTTTGCACGGCTAGACACCTTAAAATGCGTAAGGATCAGGTCTCTGCCAGAAAGCCCTAAAGCCAGTTATGATGTCTAGACTGCAGTTTTCATTTCTTCCACTAGGGGCCACCCTTGCAAACTTTTCTGAAACCAACAGCCCCACCCTTGCCAGCGAAAGTAAGACCATGTTTGGGGGCCGGAGGGGATATGTACCATGATTATCCCCAATTTGAAGATGAAGAAACTGAGGCTTGTGGGATCTTAGTTCCCCGACCAGGGATTGAACCCGGGCCCTCAGCAGTGAGAACGCAGAGTCTTAACCACTGGACCACCAGGGAATTCCCTTGCCATGTTCTTACTGAGTGGCCTTAAGCAAAATGCTTAACCTCTCTGGGCCTCAGTTTTCTCTACTGGATCCTGAAGGATTCCACCACTGAGTGAGCCCACCTCTTCCGGGTTTTGTGAGGATTAACCAAGACAGTGAATGTGATCACATTTTGAAAGTGAAAGAACAAAGCAAGTGGAAGGGGATGAGGATGATTTCTGTGCATTTGAGTAGACAAGCTAGAGGACAAGCATTTGCTAAATGAACAGATGAACCAAAAAATGACAACAGAAGCAAGAAGAAACACAAAATCCTTAAAGGATGGGCAGATACTACCCTTTAAGTCTAAAATAGGAATTTCTTTTCAAACTAGCAAAACAAAATGTTTTTCCAATAACCTTCCCCCAACCCCACCCCAGCAGAAGTAATGGGGGCACCGGACTGTGCTGGGGGCTTGTCATATTAGCAGGTAACAAGAGCTGCCCTCATTTTTCACACTGAATTCCTTTTCCCAGCCAGCCCAAACCTGGGCAGTTGGGACAAGCATGATTGGGCTTGCCAAGGGTGGTGGCCTGAAAAAATGAAAATGGTTTTGCAAATAACTTAATGCAAGGCTCTTAACCTGCTCTGGGGCATCTCGTCTGAATGGTGGTTAAGCTCCGCCCTTTGAGAAGTGACAGAAGTAGTGTGCCCATGACAGGCAGGCTCAACCTGAATTTCCAGGTGCTCATTATCTTTCTGTGCAACCTGAGCCTCTGGGCCGACAAACTAGAAATTATAGGAAAGACCAAGGGGATCTCCAGCTCCGGGAAGGCTCTGGGAAGCTTGCTTTCAACCCTGGCAAGGGCTAGGCAGCATCTCAGGGTACCGTGAACACTAATGCCAGCACGTAGGAGGAAACAAGAATGGCGAACTGTAGAAACCAGAGGATCAGTACATGGGAATTAGGTATATTTGAACATTTCTACAATAAAAAGTTAAACAAAAATAAAGCTAGCAAAGGATGAAGTATTCTTTCAGTCAGCTTGTCCTTTCCTAAACTTGTTATTTGGTCACTGGGTTTAGAAACCTAATCCCAGTGACAAGAGCCAAGAACCCAATGGCCATCTCTAAACGGGAAGATCTTTTCAACACCATATCATCATTATCACCATCAAAAACTACACATTCAACTAACAGCTTCAACTACCTTTTATTCATTATTTTCTTAATATTTAAACAAGTGACAACACTATGTGTCAGGCTCTCTTCTAAGCACTTTACAAATAGTAACTCGTGTAATCCCAGAACACTTCAAGGTTGCTACCAGCAGCATCCCCTTTTCAGAGATGCAGAGCCTGAGGCAGCTAGTTAAGTGGCAGAACGAGGATTGGGACCCAGGCAGTCTGAGAGTTCACATGTCTAACCATTCTTCCTCGTGCCTGTCTCTACAAGCCAGACCCTTGCCCTATGCTCTTTAAATCCAGTTTTCAGATTGAATCCCCCGCCCGCAGTCACCCTTAGGTATAGGCATCACCATCCCTATTTTCTTTGCCCTGAATTAAAGGCTGGTGGGAGGAGGGGCCGGGCTGTCGGATCCCAGAGTGAGTGCTCCTCACCACTGTTCCCATATGCAAAATGGGGATGGAATACTTATTATGGAGAAACAAAAATGAAAAAAGACATTCTAGAACAGCAGGAATTCTACACAGCAGGAGGTTAGCAGTAATTTGAGTGGAGGTGGAGGGAAGACTGAAAAAAGTACGATTGGAGGCAGTTTTTTGAAACGTGCTTTCCTTAAATGTTTTTGTATTATATGGTGTGTTACAATTACAGTAAATAACTTTTTAAAACGACAAAAGTTAAGTGACTTAAAAAGTATCTTTAACGCACTGTGACTCTTTTATGTTGTTATTCATCCTACAAGTGCCCTATTTTCTTGCGAATTCTGGCAGAAGTAGTAGCTTTAATCTACTACTTCTTCGCTCTGCAAGAGATGACTGAAGTTCAAAGAAAAATTAACTCCAAGTCCACGAAAAGCTCTTTGGTCCTGGGGCAGGCTCTGAGCGCTCAGCAACATTCTTTGCTTGGAATTGCCATTGTGCCACGAACAGTCCTGCTTGAAGGATCCCGTTTCTTCTCCCACCCCCACCCAGCTGGAATGTGAGTGGGTAGGAACAAGACAGTCTCCTAAGCCTCCATATATTTCAGGGAGATAGAAGGACAAGGTCTGCTATCAAAGCCAGCTAACCATAGTTGAGTTATCTGGTAATGAGTGGGATAACCCAGTCTCTTAGAAGCAACTACTTGAAAGTAGTGTTTTCCCCACACCACACACAAAGGGGTACCTTATGGCTTGTCTCCCACTCCTCAGAAGGCATTTCCCATAGCTAACACCAAAGAAAACTGCATTTACCTTTGTTTCAAGGACCGTTGGACCTCGGCGTTGGAAGAGAAAATTACACACACAACCTCGAGGGCAAGATCAGAGAGCCTTCTGAGGCTCCTGAAGGTCCTGGGGCCACACTGCCATTGTGTACCCCCAAATCAAGGGCTTTGATTTCTAACTTAAATACTCAAGATAAAGGACAAGAAGACTAAGTTGATGGAT